TTTATCAACAATTATAAACAGGTGCTTCTGGTCAAGATGGCAGAGTAGGTAAATGTTGTGCTTGCCTCCTCCCAGGACCATCGCCAAATTTTTTTTTTTTTTAGCTTTAAAAATAGTTTATTTCCTCCTTTACAAACACACAAGCCCTCTGGCCATTATGCAGGGCACCACGAATTAAATAAAAAGTTACATTAGAATATGTTTGTCTTACATAATTCAAGATAAAGTGGATTTTGAGAGCAAATGGGTGCTGACTGCAGGGGGATCAGGAGGGAATTAGGGCAGGTGCCAAGGAAAGGTGGCATGCATTTTCCTACAGTGTTTATTGAAATAGGCAGTAATCAGCACAGGTGTATCGTACAAGCAGTTATCCAAAGTTAGCACATCCAGAAGAAGTTCTGCATCTCATGGTTTCTCTGTCTATATAATAAAATACCAAGAGTACTCCTCTAAAGCACAAGACTTCTCACTAGTAGTCTCAGTACCAGTAATAGAATATGATTATTATTAAACATCTTCAATGTGGTTTTCATTGCAAAAAAATATGTTTCACATAAAAGCTTCATAATATAATCCAGAGGCAGAATTAGTGCATGTTTAAAACCTGAAGCCAGACTGGCTATTTCTGATCATGTTTTCATTGCTTCCAGTGCTTTTTACTTTTACTAAGATGCACCCAGATTCCTACCAGTTTAAACATGCACAGAACACTTTGCTCTGAGCACCACGATTGCTTTTCTGTAGCCTCTTTGGGATTATAATCCTTATCCAAGGAGAAGACCTCTAATTTCTATTCAGATTTGCTCTTTCTCACAAATCATGTGAGTGTTGATCAAAGTCCAGCCAACCCAATAATTCCACTTCTGCGTACTTATCTAAAGAAACCCAAACACTTATTCTAAAAGACACATGTACTCATATGTTCACTGCAGCATTATTTACAATAGACAAGATATGGAAGCAACCTAAGTGTCCATTAATTGATGAATGAATAAAGAAGTGATGGTACATGTATACAATGGAATATTACTCAGTCATAAAAAAGAATGAAACCTTGCCATCTGCAACAATATAGATGTATCTGGAGGGTATTACACTAAGTGAAATAAGTCAGACAGAGAAAGACAAGTACCATATGATTTCACTTATATGTGGAATCTAAAACACAAAATAAACAAGTAAACTCAGATACAGAGAACATTTTGATGGTTGCCAGATGGGAGAGGTTTGGGAGGATAGGTTAAAAAGGGGAGAGGATTAAGATGTGAAAATTGATCATTACAAAATAGTCATGGGGATGTAAAATACAGCATAGGGTATATAGTGAATAATATTGTTATAACTATGTATGGTGTCAGATGGGTACTAGATTTATTGGGATGATCGCTTTGTAAGTTATCTAAATGTCTAATTACCATGTTGTACACTTGAAATTTATATAATATTGTATGTCAACTGTAATTGAAAAGTAAATTTAAAAAATTAAGCCAAGTAAAAAAATAAACAATTGTAAACTTTAAAACATCCCTTATAGTTGGGTCTTTCTCTCCAGGTACAAACACATTTAGCTCCTCTTTGATATTTCTTATGTAACATGCTTCAAAAATTCAGAAATATGCTAAATAAAGACTAGTATGTTTTCCAAACCGACTTTCAAAGAATAGACTTTCCATGAATTTATTTGCTTCTCTCATACCTAGAACTGTTATGTTTAAGCTTGAAATTTTGGCTTTCAAGACTATCTGCTCCCTTACCATTGCATTTCAATAATGAAAACTATTCAGATGAGAAGTAAAAATGTTTAAAGACGTTCTTCCTCCTTACAGTTTCACCTCCACGCAGTGATGTTCCTATCTGGGACTCCAAGTAAGGTGGAAAATGACAGATCATCCATGTGTTGTTTGGGGGGCTGCAAGTAGTTACCATGTTTAGGTAAGGCTTATACATCTCTCCAGGCTTCTAAGCATGTGAAGGTTGTTTGGGTCAAAGATGTACCTTGTCTCAGGTTTTATTTTTTATTATTCTGAATAATCTAGAGTTTGGAATTTAGTAACCATACATTTAAAACTGAGCCACTTGTGCTACTGAAGCCAAGCCCGCGGGCATGTTTCCATATTTAATGACATAAGTTTTCCAGATCTTTCATCACCAGCCTTTCCCATTCATTAATCCTTTCTCACTCTGCTGTAGAAAAAAAGGCTTTAACATTACTTGCAAGTAAGACTTACTTTCAACATATTAATGTTAAGACTAGGGCATAATACAAAGTAACAATTCACTATGCTCCACATAAATGTTTCCTTTCTCTTCCTTTCAGTTTATTTTTTTGTATTCACTGATTTCTCTCTCTCTTTTGACCTCAAAGTTCTCTGCTTGTTAAAAAACTTCTTTAGCAACCTCTTTCATGTCTATTTGGGTAGTTGCTGTTTTGGTCTTCCCTATGGATATGAGTATATTGTTGTTATATTTTATGTGCCTTGAAAGGCTTAGATGATGTGTTCCACATAAGGTTTTGAGAAATTTCCCCTTTCTTATTAAACAAAAATCTTTTCAGAGCAATTATTTCTGAGTGGATATGTATTCGCTTCTACTTTTACAGAAAAATTTGAATGGAATCTGGGAGAAATCATGATTAGACTAGCATAGCTGGAAGGTAGTGAGAATTACCTAACCCATTTCATTGATGCGGGAGAAAATCCAGGCACAGAGTGGTTGAGCAACTTGTTGAGTAACACACAGTAAAGAGAAACACATGGAGGAAGGATAAAGAAAAGGCCTGTAGGAAGTGTACTGATCTGGATGAGTGGCAAGGAAAATAACGCAGATTTTATTTTCAATTAATGGCTATTTTGACCACAAGAGGAAACCTGGTCAGCCAAAACTGAAAGGTCAATGGAACAGAGAGTTTTTCTCATAAGACATAGCTCACTGTCCAGCCTATTGAAGAAAAATAAAGGTCATCTATCATTCTTTTCACCATTATTGCTTTATTTCTCACCTCAAAGCTTAACCATACCACTATGTCTCAGGTTCTCACCCATCATTTGCCATTTCGGAGCATTGACTGCCCAATACTCTGTGGACATTTTCTGCTCCGTTTAGATTGAATTACTTCTTTTATTGTTATTTTTTTATTAATTCATTGGCAGAATGTTTTTCCACATTTTTATAAGAGCTTTGGCTCTGAAAGAAGTATTTATTATACATGTACTTTAACCCCAAAGGAAACCAGAAAAAAAGTAAACTGAAACAAGAAATTAACTTTCAATTTACAGGGATATTAAGAGATGAAGTATGGTTAGAAAAAATTTCCTGAAGTAAATAACCACACTGCCATTCAATCCTTGCCATTAATGTGGTTTGTCATAATACCAAATTAAATCCATTTCAAAAATGTTCTGTGTTCCATTAAACAAATTTTTCCTAAATTTTAGCAAAAGGAAAAAGTCCATTCAAGGTAATAAATATTAGAGTGCTTACTATTTGTAAGACACTGTACTAGGCTCTGAATAGGATACTAAAATGAGTAAATCCTTGACTTTGGTAGTGAGTCGTGTGTCTTTGTCTTTCAAAAAGTTTACACTGACAAAAGTGTGGGGTTTGTGAGGAAAGCACACAAATTCCCACACTCTTGCCCCTTCATCACCAGCAAGTCAAGAGTTACTTGATACCCTTGAAATCACAAAATCCCTGCTCTCATGGAATTTGTATCCTAAGATGGTGGTAGTGGGAACAGATAATAAGCAAATAAGTAAAATATTTAATAATTAAATATTATAGAGAAAAATAAAGCAGAGGGGGCGCTTAGGGAGTTCTTGGCATTGTGATGTTGCAGTTTCAAATGCAGTTACCAGGGAGGGTCTTAACCTGATGGGGACTTGAAGTAATGAGTTGAGTGAAATAAAGGTGTTAGCCAAGATTTTGTGGCAGGCCATCCCAAGTAGAGAACAGCATGTGCTAAGGCCTCAGTTGGGAGTATGCCTGGGCCATTCAAAGATGAACCAGGAACTAGAAGGTGAGTGTGGCTGGAACGGGCCAACTAGGGAGAGAACAATAGGAGAAAATTTTAAGAGCTAAGAAGTGGAGACTTTGGGTATTACTCTGATTAGAAGCCACTGGAGGATTTTGTTGAACAGAGTGGCATCTCATTTACAGTTTAGGTGGATAATGACCAAAGTTGATCATAGCCAGAAGCAGGAACACAAGAATCCATCCCAATATCCAGTTGCAGAGACAATTATGTTAGAAAAAAGTGGTGAAAAATGGTTGAATTCCGCATATATTTCGTTGGCGGAGCTACCAATATTTGCTAACGGACCAAAGGTGTGCTGCTGCCAGCTTCAAAAACTGGTCACACTCTCAGCATAACTTTTGCAAAAGGTGATTTCTAAGAGTCCTGTTTCTACGTTTTCCTCTCATACTATTTGATCAGAATCTCCAAGTTTGTGGCTCTGGAAACAATATTTGAAAAATGTTTCCTAATAATTCTTCTGTAGCCAATTTGACAAAACTGGTTCAGGGCTCACTTGAATTACATGAAAGAGGCCACACTTTTAGGGGACAAATTAGAAGAACAGCATTGTGCAAAGTAGATAGGTTGGTGGGCTCGTGGATGGAGAAATAAATCTCACTCTGATCCCTCTCAGAACGCAAGAACACTATAAAGTGCCGGGAGTTGAGCTAACCACGGAAGGCTTCCTGGAGGAGACTAATTTTGACGAAGACTTTCTCACACCTTTACGAGGAGGGAAGAGGGGAGGGAAAATGAATGTAAAAGACGATGGGGCGACAACTGGCCCAAGCCAGACCTCTTGTTGGAGCCCTCTCTGAGCCCGACGCAGTACTCGAGTAGTAGCAGCGTTGGCGCAACTCCGCGAAAGCCACGCCTCTCACAAAGATCGGCCTGTTTTCCGCGGCCGCTGCAGCACTGGTTTCCGGCAGGTCCTGATTTTAGAGCGGACCGAAGCGGATGAAGGTTGCACGCCTTCTTCCGCCCGTGTTCCGGTTCACTAATACTCGGCTTCCAGGGGGAGCGGGCGCGCGCCGTCCCATTGCGCAGGCGCGGTGTGCGGTCCACGGGCGGCGCTATGCCTGCCGGGCACGTCTCGCGTGTCCGGGCCTTGTATCGGCGCATCTTGCTGCTGCATCGGCTTCTGCCCCCGGACCTCAAAGCCCTTGGTGACCAGTACGTGAAGGACGAATTTAGGAGACATAAGACGGTTCGTTCTGACGAGGCCCAGCGTTTCTTGCAGGAATGGGAGGCAAGTGACTGCCCCCTTTACTTCGCCATAGACCTTTGGGGTCCCTCAGAGGTGTCCCAGTTTGTCCCAGTGAGAGACTGCCTGTCCCGACTAGTTTCCTCGGGCCCCACGCAGAATCAGACGCAGCGGCAGCCGGTCCCGTTTGAATTAAACTGCGCAAAGCTGTTCAAACAGTACTTCCCAAAGTTACATCCCGATCCTGTCTATTTCTCCCGCGGGCTACTCGCTGGAGCAGTTCCCATTATATCTACTTCTGCAGTTCATTTCAGCTCTTTAAGCTCTTGCCCATGCCAGGCGCTGGAGGGGTGAGGATGGGAGGTTACAAAATTGAATAAATCACTGTCAGGTCCTCAAAGAACTTAACCACCGTGCAGCTTTTGTCCCCTGCAATGCCTTGCAAGCAGCAAATAAATTAATGGTTTTCTCATTAGTTTTCAGACTTAGAGGTTTGTTTCCATAATTACTGTTTTTTAAAATTTCAGTGCTCTTTGTTGCGTCTTAATATCAGTTGACTGATAGAGAAATCAGTTAAGACCGAAGGAGAAAATGCTGGTCAGAGTTAAGTCAGGTGAAAGTTGGTTTCTCCTGAGTCTCAGGTCAGTTACTTTGTTAACATTACTCTGCATCATTGCACTTAATCTTAAACAGACACATGCATTAGGGATTAGCTCTTTGACTCCTCCCCTCTCCTTTTTGAGTGAAAGAAAAAAGGTATTAAGAGTATTCCGTGTTGTTGGAGGCATTGCAGGATTGCCTCTAGTTCTGCTTTGCAAATATCAAGAAATGAATGGGATTGGAGATTAGAGTGAAAACTCAGGTGTTTGAAAACATGAAACTGTGTTGGTAAAAGAACCCGAGGTAAGCGATTCGTCAGCCTAAAAAGTTGACGGCTGGAGAAGAGATGACTGAATTTTTTTTTTTTAAATCGTAAAGGTTATGGTTAGGGTGAACATAACCTTTTCACCAAATCCCAGAATTTTTGATTGTATAATCATTGAAGCTTGCAAGAGGGACATTTAGGACAATGGTAAAATTTAGAACTTTCCTAAATATCATGTGTAAAAGATGTAATTAGCTGGTGGGGAGACCAGGGAAGTTGAATGTCTTTAAATGCAGCATGGTATCTTTTAATATGGTAACTTGGTCTTGGAGTCAGAAGAACTGGATCCAAATTCAGGTTCTGGCATTTATTGTCAGATCACTTAATTTTTCCTATTTGTTTTCTAATCTGTAAAATAATAACAGTATTTACAATATGTGCCTCTAAGTTAGTATATCTAAATGTATTTAAAAGCACTTTGTAAATTGTTAATTGCAGCACAACTATAAGATATTAAGGTGTTAAGTGATAACTGTGAAGCTAGGTCATTTTGTGGCAGGACAGGAAGGAGAGTCTAGCTCTGTATTTGGGAAGAAATAAGGGCACTTTGAGAGGTCCTAAAGTTTAAAAACTTGGAAGAATTTT